AAAGACACAAAGATCGATGAACATTAAAAACCTGTACATTGTAAAAAACGAAAAAAAAAAAAAACCCAAAAACTGAAAAAACAAAACAAAAAAACCCATACCCCAAACAAACAACAAACACCATCATTCTCTTGCTTTGAAATCAGAATCATTGCAGGGGGAAAAGAAAGAACCATGGAGAGGTGACCGGGCGATGCTCACTGCCTGGCAGGTCAGAGCTGCTGCGGGCTGCGGGAAGTCTGTGCCGTGCTCTTGTTTCCTCTAGCGTATAGAATGCAAAGCATTTAATACTTTTTTTTTTTTTTTGCTTTTTTTTTTTTTTTTCCCCCAGAGCGAGAAAGCAGAAGTGAATGAAAAAAAGTCTAATATTTTTGTTCTTTAACCATGTAACTGCAGATATGATCCAACATCATGGAATGAAAAAAATAATGTAAAGTAGAGCATTCATGTGTATCACAAAAATACAATAAAAACTTTTTTTTTTCCTTTTCTTTTCTTTTTTTTTTTTTTTTTCCTTTTTTTTTCTTTTTTAAATTCTCCTGTGAGCTCCCTGCTCCGCTGGCTCCCTGCCGCGCTGCCCCACACCCGGCAGCTCTGGAGGGCTCTGGAGAACCAATGCCTGCAAACCAGCAAAGGCTTTCTGCTGAGTCAGCAGCGGTGTACGTCATGGGGGCCCTGCAACCATGGCAAGATTATTTTTTAAACTAAGTTTATACATTCTCCTGACTTACAGATGACTTTGATGGATCACTGTTACCATCTCTTTTTTTTTTTTTTTTTTTTTAAACATTTCCATACAATGGACAAACACATCAAAGCCTGCGTGTAAGAACAGAACCTCTTTTACAGCATGTAATACTGTGTTTTGTTTAAGTCCTTCCTTGCGTAAAATATCGACATAATTCACCAAAGGTATCAAAAATATACCCTGTAGACCAATACAATTTACAATTGCCTTTTCTCACCATTCAGAAAACAATGCACTTAAAGCAACCGAGCCCGTCTGTGGGCAGCACGGGGAATCTCCTCCCACACCGATGGAGCCCAGGCCCTCTGCCACCGAAGGGACAAGCAATATTCTCAGAAATGGCTCTTCACGCCCTCCCTGCTCCCCCAGCTGCGTGCAAAGCGCATCGAGCTGACGCGTCCTGCGCGGCGGGGATGGCAGCTCCCACCCTCCGATCTGCCGAGGGAAACCAAATCGGGTTCAATCCTATGAAGCATTTTGAATCTTTTGTTGTTGTTGTTGTTAAACCGTTTCAAGGTTTTGTGTTTCCGTGGCACGGCCCCACGGAGCCCGGCGCCATGGAGCAGAGCGTCTGTGTGCGCGCAGCCCTGGGACATGGTGTGCAGGGTCACTGCCCAGCAATGCTGGCAAGGACAAAGATGGGATCCTTGGGTTTTGTCTCGTTAAGGCTTCTTTTTTCTTTCTTAGACTGAAGAGGATGCAGACGTTTCCAGATGTTGAGAACAACAAGAACAACAACAACAACAACAAAAAACAGGAAAAAAAAAAAAAACAACAAAGAAAAATAATCCCCACAATCCCCACCAAACTGGCCGGTTGGGATAGGAAGGAAATGAAAGAAAAATTAAAAACCAAAAGAAAGCTCTGCTCCTGCATCTTTGCTCATGAGAGCCAGCGGGGCCGGGCCCCGGGCACCTCACTCCCCGCGCCTTCGGTTTGGTCGCCGTCTCCCTGCCCCTGGCTCGCCTCATTCACTGTCCGAAAGGGTCTCGTACTGGGAGCAGAGCAGAGGCTTGGGCTCCTCGTCCCAGGCATGGTGCTGCCCGCCAGGCGTTCCTTGTGGCAGCGGCACAGCCGGAGCCGCTGTCACCACCCCGCTGGGGAGCCGCATGGTGAGTGGGTTGTAGGGGAACGGCGTCGAGCCTGCGTGGAGCAGAGAGCAGAGGGTCAGTGCTTTGGGACCAGTGGGATGCCTCAGGGACATGTCCCCCTCCCCATGCCATACCTGCGGATGACGGCCGGTCCTCCCAGACACGGTTGGTGAGAGGCGTCCTCCGGTTGCAGTCCCCCTCTGAGTGCACCGAGGAGACGGATGGCGGCCGCTCGCCAGAGGACAGGCCGGGCGCCGGCGACTTGGCCTTGCGGCTGTTGGGTCTGGCGGCGATCTTTGGCTTCCCCCCTCCTGCTGCAAAGAGAAGCGCCTGCTCATCAGCCAGCCCTGCTAGGATGTAGCCGTGATGGATATAGGGGGGAAATTGGGCACAGAGTGCGTGCACCCCTCTGCGCTTCCCCAGCCCCGCGTGCTGTTTGAAGCCTGCAAGGTGCTGGTGGCAGGAGGCAAGCTTGCCCTGCGCGGGGCAATGGGAGCTCCAGGGACCCCATAGCTACACAGGGCTGTAGTCCCTCGTTTCCGTGATTGTTAACCCATCCTTACAGCACAATCTCCGGCCATGTTTCAGCCAGATTTTAAAGGTTTAGGAGACAGAACATTCTGTGCTGGGAATGTTAGCTCAGCTAAGCAGGACAGAGCTCCCAAAAGGGGACGGATGGGCTCTTGTCCTGCCCCACCTGCCCTGGGCAGACCTCAGCGGGCACAGGGAAGCATGGGTGGCAGAAGCTGCTGGGCTCATGCAGCAGCCAGAGAGCATGCCTGCAGCAAGCTGTGGAGCGCCTGCTGCCAGCTGGGCAGGGCACAGCACCACGTGCCCCCACACATCACTGGGCTGGAGACTGCCCCAGCACCCATCGAGCCCTCTGTGTGTGGGGCACAAATACACACCTCAAACCAACTGGGGCTCCCTTCCCAAGCTGAGGGTGTGCAGAACCGACACTGAGCAAACCCCCAAGGCACTAAAACTCAGTGTGCCCCAGTTCTGCTCTCAAATGGCATCCCCCATCTGTCCCTCCTGGCTCTGTGTGTGAGTCCTCTCTCTTGCTCCAGGCACTGCCCATTTCAGCACTGACACCCTGAGCCTGGGGAGAGAATCATGGCATTGCCCTATGTCCCCTGCACCTGCCCATGGCTTGGACTAGCTCTGGAGCCCAGCTCTGGGAGGGCAGTGCTGGATCTGAGCACTCCCTCCTGCTGTGTGGGCATGGGATGGGGTTTTATGAACAGTTTGGGGTGGCTCTAAATAAAGGTTTATCGCTTTGGTCTTTTGGGTGTTGGCTTTCCCACCCCATAAACCTCCTTTACGTGATTAAAACAAAAAAAGAAAAAGAAAAAAGGAGGTATTAAAAAAAAAAAACAATGGGGAATGGGGAAAGGAGCACGGTCAGTGGTTTAGAGAAAGCATCAGCACCTTCGGAGACTATTAAATGAACATCAAACAAGACTGGGATTAATCAGCGGATTCACAAAGCTTGAAGCTGGGGTGGGGAGAAAAGAAAACCAAAATGAACAAAAACGGGGGGGGGAAAACAAATCCACCCACAAAAGGGGAAATAGAAATGCTGAGAATTAATAATACAGAGAGAGTGAAGGTGGAGAGGGCTGCAGACCTGGCAAGGAGCGCACGTCCTCGTTTCGTCCATCAGCAGGAGTTATGGGCATAGCAGCGGGCAGGCTTGCACTGGCATTCAGAGAGTTAAAAGCATTGGCACTGAGAGGTGAGCGCTCTTCCCACTGCTCGTCATATTTACCCATTAGGGCTTTCCTAATTATTGCCTCCAACCCCATGTTGGTACTGGAATTCTCTTGGACCGACTGGCTCCTACAACTGATTAGCCCTGGGAGATACGGGAGGGGGAGGAAAGAGGGGACGGGAGGTGGGGGGGAGCCAAATGAGAAGAAAGATGGGGGGACGGGGAAAGGGGAGAAAGGAGACAAGGGAGGAGGGAAGAAACAAACAGTCAGCACATTCTCGCAAAGCAACAAATGTTGTCATCTTGTTCTGTAAAGCTCTGCAACGCGTGTTGGCCCCCCTCCTCCTCCTCCTCCTCCTCCTCCTCCCCACTCCATCCCGCCCCAGGGCCTGGCAGGGGAAGGGGCTGAGATGGGGCTGAGGGCTCAGAGGAAGCAGGGAAGGGTCTAAGCTGAGCCCTGAGGTGCAGCAGGAGGGGGCTGCGCTCCCACCAGGCTCAGTGCCTGGCTGTGGGAAGTCCGCACAGATGCACGTATGGATGCAATATGGTTGTGCGGACAAACTGGAGGCCGGGGCTTCCCAAGGAGGGAGAGACAGGGGAGGAAGAGGGGGCACTTAGAAAAAAAAACAAAAAACATAAAAACTGGATTGGAAAGAACTGCCCAGATTTGGCATCAGCATAGGAGGTGGGAGAGGGGCACGCAGCCTGCAGGGCAGGGTGGGTCCTTCAGTCCCTCCTCGCCCCAACCCTCCTCATGGGGACCCCCAGGTTTGGCCGCAGCTGCGGGACAGGCTGCAGAGGCAAGGTGTATGTCCGAGTGGCAGTGAGTGTCAGAAGCCATGCAGTTATAGTGCAGCGCAGGGACCAGAGGGCACTAGGCTCAGCCACGAGACCGTCATTCCCAACGCGGTGGTTACAGGGAACAAGCAAGGGCAAAATACAGACACAAGAACAGCAGGCCGGCATTGGACCCCCCTGACAGCCCCCAGCTCACCCCGTCCCAGGTGGTTCATATCCCTGGAAAGGAGCAGGGTGCCCCCATTGTCCCCTCCAGGCTCCCAGCTCCCTGTGCTCCCTATGAGCAGCTGGAACCAGGCGATGCTCTCAGGACACTGGGCTTCACCCCACAAATTCTGCCTGCCACAGACATCCCACAATACACTGCCCCCCTGCACCACAATCCGTGCCCACAGCCCTGGGCTCGGGACCTGGCACTGAGGCAGAGCAGCACAGAAGTGTGCATGGCACTCCCTGCTCCTTCCCTTGGTAGGGGAAATTTGGTCATTCCTCCTCATAATTAAACAGTACAACCCAGAAGCATCCTCCACTGGAGGAGGTGTTAATCATTTATTAAGTGTTATTTAATACTTCTCAGTGGGGATTCCTTTGAGAAAGCTGCTCTGCTGGCAGATCTGGATCTCCATGGGGATGGGGGCAGGTACACAGCACCTATGTTGGAGGATGTGCCTCCTGCCCAGCAGTACGTCACAGCTCTGGGAGAACATGGCTGTGCCACAGCACTGCAGCAAGGGGCCCTATCTCCTCGAGGTGCTGCTGGGGGAGTGCAGCCACCCCTGCCTTTGGCCAGGTGAGACAGTGAGGGCTGAGTGTTGCCACCCACAGGACTCTCCTGTTGGCATTCTGTCCCCACACAGACCTCTCTGCAGCTATATCAGAAGCTGGTGGCAGAGGTTTCATGCCATCTTCCTCCCTCAGGTTGTCCTGTCTCATGTCTGGGAAGCCCCCACTGCCCAATCCTACAGGATTGCTTTCAGTCCCTCTTTGCTCTCTCTCTTCCTTTCCTAGATGGGCCAAAAGCCACAGGTGCAGATCTGGGGAGGGTGCAGTGCCCCCAGGAAGCTCCCAGACCTCCAGTTTAGCTCCTGCACTGCCCTTCAGCTCTGCACAGCTCTGACTCTTTCTCATCCTCTGCAAAGCTCTCAGAGGAGTCACACTGCACGCAACAGCAGGGAGCGACGGAGGGCAGCGAGGCTGCAGCCTCAGCAATGCCACACTTGGCATTATTGCAGAAGGAAAAACGGAGATGCTCCAATCACCCTATCTCCCTGCTCTGGACAGTTGTGAGCTTGGTATGGAATGAGGCACAATACAGACATAGTGTGAGTTACCTGCTCCAGTAATCGCTGGCATATTGAAAATCTCTGTCCCAGGCTGCCCAACATCTGGGGAGAAACAAAGAAGCTCTTGAGTACAGAGCAGTGCGGCTCTGGAGCCATGGAGCTGGGAGAGCTCGTGTTCCACAGCAGCGCCCAGGCTGACAGCAGCCCCCAGCCCTGGGGCAGCTCTGCCTGACGGCCAGCAGCCACAACTTGGGAAATGGCAGAGAAGCAGATCCCAGAGCGATGCCTTCACAGCCAGCGCTGCAATCCCTCCCTCCAGCCCTTTGGATTGAGAGCTCTATGAAGTTAAACCCTCTCCCGCCTATGGGATTCCCACAGGCTCCAGTCCTCCATACCCAGAGAGCAGGTCTGGGCAGTGGGGAGGGCAAGGAGGAGAAGAAACGTTACATCAATATTTTTCCTCTTAGCTGAGCTATTTGACTTGGATAATGCTTTCCTTAGAATAACAGAAATTCTCATCAAATAAAAGGTGTTTCCTATTTCTGTATATTTTCTCTTGATAAGGAAAAGTGTGGAAGGTCATGGGGTTCAGCTACACATCCCCAAAGGGGCATAACAATACTGTTGGCTCATGGTAACATCATCCAAGAGACGAGACAGCTCAGTTGCTTTTATCCAATGCAGCTGTTGTAAGATGGATTCAAATTGAATTAGTACTGACTGTATAATGCAGGGCTAAATTAAATTATGATCCTATCTACTCTATTAGTGGTTAATGAATGAATGGGCTGGATTTTTAATATAAGCCAGCCTGGTTAGTTTTACAGAGTTATACCAATATTGACGTAAGGATTAAAGTAACGTTTGGGAGAGATGCATCTCAAGGAGGAAGGATTCAGCTTGGCTGGCCATTCATTAAAATATCAATTGCTTGTAAGTCTCCTCCATGCTCAGCTCATTATTTCCTTCCTCTTGAGGTTATTTGTCGCTGCCACAGGGTGGGATTGACAGCCCCACAGCATGGAGATGCACAGATGGGAAGGCTCCCATCACTTCCCCAGATGCACTGAAAAGCATTCGGTGCTTGCACATCCCAAGAAACCATGGCATGATGCAGAGAGCTGGCTGGGAGCTCGCAGCCTGCAACACAACAGCACTTTTCCCAAACCTCCTTCGCTTTGTGTGTCCTCAAGGCTTTTCCCCTTGTGCCCCAAAATAAAGATCCCCATGTCCTTACTGTACTCTGTCTCATTTTTGTTGGTCGTACTGAGCTTCTTGATGATCTCCTGTTTCTTGGACTTCACCATGGCAGAGTTGCTCTCTGTCAGCTTACTGAAGAAAGCTGGAGGCTGAGTGTTGTTTCCTGGGGACTTGGACCCCATCCTGCAAAGCAAAAAGCCATCAGAAAACTCTGCAATGTCCAGGTCATGATGTCCTACCTAGAACTGCACTTTTCTCTTAGTGCAACTCCTCATCATCAGTCCAGGGCTCCTGAGATATCTGGGATATCCAACCCATCATATAACCATTAGAGTTGGAAGGAACCCCTGAAGGTTGTCTGGTCCTACTGCAGTGCACAGGGACACTCACAGCTCCATCAGTGCTCGCAGCCCTGTCCCCTGACCTTGGGTGTCTCCAGGGATGGAGCACCACCATCTCTCTGGGCACCCTGTGCAGTGTCTCCCTCTGCTGTTATCGTAAAAAACTTCCTTCTCATATCTGAAAATCCCTTTTTCCTTATAGCCTTCCATGATGACCTGGGATGTGACTTTGCTTCTGTCTGCAAGAAAAAAATCTATGCCCTAATTCTTCCCACCTTTCAATAAATGAGTGCATTCAACTCCTTCAGACCTAAAAATCAGTTCCCCAAGAGCAGATCTGTTGCTCAGCCAAAAATTCAGGGAGTCAGTTTCTACAGAAAGATGCTTCAGGTGGGACTGAAGAGGGCCCCTGGGAGGCAGCAGCAGAAGGGACGAGAACATGGCCAGGCTGCAGTGCTGAGCAGCATGCAGGAGTGTGGCCATGTCCTAGGAGGAGCAGCGCAGAGGCCAGCTCCATGGATGGGTTGTGGGAGCCAGCTGGCCCCGCTGTATGATTATCAAAGCTGCAAATAGGAGAGCTTCCAGCTCAGCAGGGATGGGGCCCAGGGATGGGGTCATGCTCTGGGTGGAGGTGAGTGTGGGGATGGCTGTGCAGTACCTCTGGTCCAGCTGCTCGCCCTCACGGTACAGGATCGGGTACGTGGCGCTCTTGGCGTGCTCCGCTTCTCCCACGCCGTCTGGTGGAGACACGGGCTCGATACAGTTGTCCGACCCGCCGCCGGCTGAGGCTTTGCTCTGCTCCGGGGACCTGAGGATGGCGATGGGGAGATGCAATCGGTGCACGGCAACACACGCAGTCTCCATGTGGGGTGATGGGGAAGGACTGAAATAGCTTGCGGGACAGCAGGAATGAAGCCAAGCTCCCCACCCTCGTGGGCTCATGGCACCGTTTAACACAAGCCCTCGGAGCAGTGCAGTTTGGGCTCTTTTCCGAACCGCAGGCGTGCTGAGCAGCACTGAGTGGAGATGTGGCCCAGATTTCCAGGCAGCAAGCCAGGCAGCAATGCCCCCAGCATCCCAGGAAACGAAAGGGAGCAGCACTGGAGCTCAGCCCCAGCATCTGTCCACTCCTGCGTTTGCAGGGACGCAATTCCTCCGGAGGGTGGGACACCAATGCTCTGGGGACACAGCTTGTGATTCTCCACTATATTTGCTAATGCACAGGAGGGCAGCACCCACCATCTCCATCCACTTCACTGCAGGGTCATGGTGGGCCCGTGTGGGACAGCCGAGGGGATGCAGCCCTCCAACTGCAGCCTGGGAGGTGGCCAGGGTTGAGCCCACAAGGAATTCCTCATAGGCGGTTCTGGGAATTTACATTAATGTTCTTTCTGTGTTTTTTTTTCTCATTTTTTTTTCATCTCTGGCTGGCCAGGACTGGGCTCTCTCCCCTGATGTTACAAATCCAATTCTAAGACCATGCAGAGCTGAGGGAAATAATGGCTGAATAATTTACTGACAAGGAACTGTAAGTTTCGAGACCTCTCTGCTTCTTGGACATAACTGGATTTCACTGAACTCTGATGCTGGGGTGGGAGGACAGACACCATCCCCACATTTCCCACTTTTTCCAACTCAATCATACTTTCTAATGCTATCTGCATGATTTGGCAGAAATAACAAAAGAAATAACAGAGCAACAAGAATCACTAGGAATGATGAAGGTAAAATTTACTCTGAACCAGTGGAAAGTATGTTTCTTTGTGGGCTTTTTTGGAACCATTTGTGGTCTGAAAGGTCACTGCTCAGTGCCAGAGACTGAGGACTAAGACAGCAAAAGAAGCAGTGGGCACAAACCCAAATGAGTGAAACTCTATCTGAACACAAAACACATTTTTGACTGTGAGGGTGCCTGAACACCAGGACAGTATGCCCAGGGAGGTTCTGAAGTCTCCATCAATGGAGAAACTCAAAACCCAACCGACCATGGGCATGGCTACTGCTTGGCAGAACCTGTCTGTGCCTGTTGTGGCTCAACTCTCTGAGCTCACCTTTTGCCTCCTTCGTTCTGTGGGGAGATCCTGGAAGCCACTGCATGCTCTTGCTGCTGCAGGTATGCCTCGCTGGGGGTGCGGCGCAGGTCCAGTACGGGGCACGCGGCCCCAGGGAAGGAGTACACCGGGGTCTGGATGTGGGAATTGAGCTGCTGAGGGTGATGGCGTGTGTAGTCCTGGGTGATGACCTCCTAGAAGAAGAAATCCTTGGGTCAGAAGAAGAGTTGGGTTTTATTTCTTACTTCACAGGAATCAGCTAAAGACTAGCAGGAGGAAATTAGGCTAGTAAGGCCTTGAAGGGATGTAATTTCTGTGTCCTGTCAGCAATAGCTCTTGCGACAGGTTAGGTTGGGACACAAGGACCTGCAATGAATGCATCCAACACACTCTGCTCTCTCTGGCTCTACACCAAATCTCTAGCATCACTCCCAGGCCCTCCCCACCAGATGTATTTCATATAAGCTCTAGATATGGCCCTTCCCTCCTCCCTCCAGAGGAAAGAAAACGAGGTTAATTACACTGATGTGCTGGGCCAGTGTGACCACCCGCTGGTTCATGCCCTTGACACTCTGGCTGGACTGCAGGGGCTGGCACTGGGGCTGCGGGCCGTCAGGCTGCCGGAGGTGCTGCAGGTGGGCTGCTTCAGGGCCTGAGGCTTTCAGAGAGGCTGGAGAAGGCACAAAGAGCAGAGCTGAAGTGAGGTGACACTCGTGTCCCGTTTCCTGATGCTGAACACCACCTCAGCATGGCACTGGGCCCCTGCTCTCACCTTGCTGTTTCTGCCTTGGGTCATGCTCCCCATGCCCCTTCTCCACATCCTGCAGCAGCTTGGCCCCTTTCTCATGGGATAGGCTGGGCGAGCTGACAGGACTCACGGCTTCAATCCGATCAGGGCTGTATCCGCCATGAAAGCCTGGATAAAGGCAAGAAGGGCATTAAAACTGGGAGTTACTTAGCTGTTCCCTAGCACTGCGTGGTTGCTGGTGGGCAGCTGTGCATTCAGCAATGAGGGAAGAAAGAAGTGGACTGGATCTGGCTGAACCCTAGGGTTCAGTGGGGTCTGCGGCCCCATCTCATTCCTGCAGATCTGGATGTGCAGTGACAGCACGGGAGTCAGGACCCAGGCTCAACCCCTGCGGGTTCGCCTCATGCTCTTCCCCCTGAACCCACCTCCTGAAATACACAGATGTTCTTTTTGTCTTCTGTCTGCCTTTTAAACCCTTTGCAGAGACTCAAGGTTCAAAATGTGCTGATTTGCAATGGATCAATATTACTTTTTAACAGTGAGGAAACTGAGGCAAGATGGGTCAGAATTCCATGCAGTGGGGCTAAGGATCTGGAGAAGGTCCTTGTTTTCCTGTCAGCTCAGCGGGTTGGGCAACACTCACAACTTCTGCCCTACAGACCTTCACCCTCCTTGTGCTCCGTTCCTAGAAACCGCCCCTTCCAGGCAGAGCTGGCCAACGCTGAGCAGTGCCCAGACGCACCCTGCCCCACTGACACACTGCCCCGGCCCCAGTAGGATGCCTTGGGTTGTCCTCCTCCGGGAAGGCGACGTGTGGTGAGCCACCCTCACTGGAACAGCCCTCCTTATGTCTTCTACGAGCTAGGGAGCGCTGGCAGCTCCAACCTCTAAGGCCCAAGGCTGTAGCAAGGGGACCCGGTCAGAGCCACACCGAGCTGCAGCCTGTGGATACCCCAATGGCTTGACATGAGTGAGGACATGTGTGCTCGGTGGCCAATGGCCACATCATCCTCATATGTTTGCTCTGCCTTTTTGCTCCTTCAATTTATTGCCTACAACTGCTTCTTACAGACTGCCTGGGAATTTCTAATGGTGGGGAAATCAGAGTTAGCAAATTGCCGTTGTCTGTAAAAGCAATACCAGGAACTGCGTGACATCTGCAAAACAGGGCTTGGCTGGGAAGTGTGGGAGAAGGGAAGATCCCTAAAACACACACAAATAATGACTGCAATAACGTAACAATCGGGGAGGAGAGGGACAAGCACACTTCAGGAGCTGACAAAGCCAACAACCAAAGTGTACAACTAAAAATAAGAAATAACGAAATGGAATTGGTTTCAGGCCACAGCTCTCTGGCCCCTCCCCTCCAGTGGCTTACCATCGCTAATGGAGCTGTTACTCAGCGAGCCTCTTTCTCACTGCCCCTTATCACAAGAAATTTGGCACATGATAATCACATCTATGAAGCTGGCCACTGTCGTGGTGGTCTTACCGAGTGCTCGGAGCTCCTGTTCCTGCATGGAAAAGGGTTTACTTTGACTCTTTTCTCTACTGTGCTGCTCCGGGCCCGAGGCTGCGTGCTGCTGGTCCAGAGGGTGGTGGTGCTGCTGGCTTTTCCCCTGTCCTCTGCTATAGTGATGAGAAGAACCAGGTCCGGAGGAAGGTAAAGGCCTCGACTCCATGGCTTTAATAGGTGAAGGCGACTGTTCGAGGCTAGCCCCACTGGGCAGCTTTGAGGTGAAGACGTTGCTGTCGGTCTGGGCTCGCTCTGCCTTTGATTCCCGTGCCCTTGAGGCCTCTTTCTGCAGGACGGCCGGGTCCAGCATGGCTGCATAGCCGTCTGCTGCGCTGATGGAGGAGCGCAGCGTGGAGGCTGAGGGGAAGGCTGCGGAGCGGATCGGCGACGTGGTAGTGGTGGAGGAGGTTCTGCAAGGCAAAAGGTGATGGAGAAAAGGTCAGAGAAAAGCATGCGGCAAAGGGGAGTGCTTGGCCAAGGACTGGCACTGTCTGCCTGTGATCCTCAGTGGGCTTTGAGCACAGGATCATAGAATGGTTTTAGGTTGGAAGGGACCTTAAAGATCATTGAGCTCCAACTGCCTGCCGTGGGTCACTGAGGTGGCACATAATGGAGCAAGTGAGGGAGCTCAGATGAAGCCTCTGCCAACCAGGTGCCTGCCAGAATAGCTGGCTGTGGGATACCTGATGTGCCTGGATGGATTCACCAGAGAGCACGAAGCCCACGGGACAAGCCCAGAGACATTCATAACCCCCTCTCCCCATCATAACCTTCCTATGAGTCCCAGCTGTGCTCCTGCTGGGACAAGGCCAAAACAACCCTTCTGCATCTCCAAGGTGCCCACGAGATGCTTAATAATGAGCAACTACATCCATCCCAAGGCCAGAGGCAGGACGGTGTGTGGGGACGTACCGCAGGACGGAAGGAGTGGGGGTCTCCGAGGAGATGATCTTCATGCTCGTGTTGTGGAGCACGCTGGGGCGCTGCTGGATGGTCTCGTGGGTGCGGGGCGAGACGGGAGAGTGCTGGTGGCTGTGAGAGTGCGAGGAGGAACGGCTACTGGACTGCTCTGTACCTGGGGGCAGACAGCCAAGGACTTCAACCCTTCATTCTGGAGTCCCAACCCCACCTCCACCCAGCAAGGCCCCAAGGCGTGGTGCCAACTCCCCCCCCGCCTACCAGGTCTCCAGATAGGTGCGTGCTCCACCGTGGTGGATACTAGGATGGATTTTTCACGCTCCCTCTCACGTTCACGCTCCCGATCTCGTTCCCGCTCTGACGATCCCGACTGTTTGGTCAAGTGCGTGGGACCTCCTGAAACCCAACAGAAAGGCAGTGAAAGGGCTGCAAACAGAGTCACTCTCCACAGGGAATGCTGCCTGTCCTTCACATTGCTGAGTCTGCAGAGCAGATAAGAGATGGCTCCATCCAAGGTCACCTGGAACAGGACAGACCGGAGTGACCTGAGTGACAAAACCCAGGAAAATCACAGTAGTAGTCCTGGTGACATCTCCTGGGTCTGACCTTTCACAGAGCTGTTTGCCAGCTGCCACTCTGGGGAAAGAGGAGGAAAAGCAATGAACCTCCCCACAGCAGAACTGGAGGAGCTGTTGTGAAGGAGTCCTGGTTGCTGGGTGGGAAAGGATTTGGGATCCCCAGTGTTTCCAGCATGCTGAGTTCAGGGCCTTGAATTGTTTGAAGGAATCCTGCCCAATCGCTTTCCCCTGAGAAAAGAAACCTGCAGCATTACCTGGGGAGAGCGGGGAGCTGCTGTGCCGGCTGCTGAAGGTCTGGGGGGGGCCGGGAATGTAGGTGATGCGGTCCATGGAGGTGGCAGAGGTGCCAGGGGTGGGGGGCACGAGGACAGGCAGGTGTGGCACTTGGGACAGGTCAATGATTCCTGGAGAGAGAAGCGAGAGCACTGTCAGGGTAACAGCGAGCCATTGTTACTTGACCCCAGCTCCCAAAACGTGGGAACAGCCCCAAACCCTCCTGGATGGGGAGGACCTGCTGCATAGTTGAGGGCGAGCGAGGGCTCACGGGGCGACAGGCCACGCAGCATGTCTGCCCGCTGCGCCATGGCCGTGGCTGCGGCGTTGTGGTGCATCTGCTGCGACGTGATGTAGTCATTGATGATGGTCTGTCGGTTCTCCATGGCGGCCGTGTCCGTGTACCCCCGGATGAGGTACGGGGGGTAGAGGTGGGGGTACGTGGGGCTCGGAGCCAGATGTCTCGGCAGGTAGTAAGCAGCGGCTGGGAGAGAAAAGGATGGAGACATGATGCGGTGCTTCCCAAGGAATGGTTTCTGGGAGGTATCACATCTACCACAACTAAACCTAAAGCAGTGCTTTTTCTTGGCATAGCCTTAGGTTTTGGAGCACAATCCCAAGACAACTATCCCCCCTGCCAACGGTACCTGCTTCCAGTTGGATTCCCCTCGGGATGGCAGCAGGGTCAAAAGCCAGTGGGATGTGTCCTCGATACAAATCAACCCCACTCACACCACGCAGCAGGTGCTCGTAGGGGGAGATGGGGTGGTGGTGGTCGGGCACAGGGGCATGTGGAGACTTGGAGTTGGTGAGCTCTCTTGATGTGGGGGTGATTTTTCTGTCCTGGGACACTGGTTTCCCAGCAGTGATGCTCCCTGCAGCGAGCAGAAGGAAATGAGTCAGAGACAAAGCAGTGCAGCCAAACCATGTCTCTGAGGGGTGCCTTGAGCCAAGTGTGTCCTCAGGGGACACCCACAGCTCTCCCTGAACTCGAGGGACCTTTCCTCTTTGCTGTGCTGCCATGCCACATTACACCACCAACACCAAGGCAGCCAAGCCCTGGTTGCACGCAGGAGAAGCGTCTCCCAGCCCATCTGTGCCCCATGAGACATGGAGAGGGGCTCCCACCCTTCACTGCCTGCGTCACATGCAGCCTGGACCTCTCCCTTTGGCATCCCGCTCTCTCCTTCTAGCATTCAAACTGTCCCACGAGCACAGGACTGGGACAGGGCAAAGGCACCAGGTGCAGTACGCTGGGCTTTGCTACGACAGCACTGAATATGGTCCTGAAGGACCCGTGCCAGTCCTATGCATGGTTCAGTGCAGCATCTGCACAGGGAGGGACAGACAGATGGCCTTGTTTTCCATCCCCAAAGGGAGGCCATGCACAGGCAGTTCTTCCAAGTGGGGAGTGGAGCCACAGATGCAAGGAGCAGTAGGACAGGACTTTCCCATTCCTCCACCTCGTGCAACCTGCAATTTGCAGGCAGCGTTTTGGGGATGTTTGCACCCAGCGATGAAAGTCAGCAGCCCCAGAAACTCCCGGCCACAGTGACGAAACACAGTTCAAAGGGTTCAGGCTGCCCTGTCAGCTCTTGCCCAATGCTCACAGTGAATTTGGAGGGATGTCAGGGCCTTTTCTTGGCTCTCCCAACCTGTGCTGGACATTGGTGGCACTTCTCACCCCACCCGGGACAAGGGTCACCAGTTCACAACTGTAACAACAGTGTGGACAGCAACTGATAGTCACCCCAAAGCAGCGTGAACACACTTCTCTTGCACTAAATTGCACAGATATGAGCCCAAAACCATTAAGAAAAAAGAGCCAGCCCATGCCTTCCCATGAGCCCAATAATGTAGGAATCCGCTTCCCTGCTGGTGTTTTGCAGGAACACTTATTTTCCCCTTGGGATCCCTCCCCACAGCCTGGGTGCTGCCTCCCCCGTTCCATCCTCACCATATGTGCAAATCTCATCAGCCGCAAAGCAGCTGAAGGCTTTCCCAAAGTGATGGACCTCACTGGAAAAATAGCAGAGCAAAGGGATGAGCTGACCATGGAGATCCCAGATGTACCCAGAACCTCATCATTTGGCCATGAGTGATGCTAGAAGATTTTTGGAGAGCTCTGCTATGTGCAGCCCAAATTTATGGTCCTTCAGTAGAGCTGCATCCTGGCATTGGTTTCTGGCAGATTGCGGTGTCTTGTGCCGCACACCCCCAAATCATAAGACTGTTGGTGTAGGACAAGGATTTGCAGGTGGGAGATGAAAACATCCCCCAAACACTGCCACAAAGCTGGAGGAAAGCAATGCCCCCAGGCTGCTGCAGTTACCCATAGCTAGCAGGCCTGATAGGCAGTGTCCTATGGAATGGGATCTGCACTGCCTCTCGCCATGCTGTAATGCCAGGGACATTCTGTGCTCTGGTTCTGAATGCATCCCAGCAGATCACTGCCTGGCTCTATGGGCAGAGGCCACTTGCAGAGGTGAGGTGCAGAGGTGATGGATAAACACATCACATTTCCATTTCATTTCACCAGATTGGTGAAAAAGGTGAAAATCCCCTCCATAAGAGCACTGCTCTCCTGACCACCTTCAGAAAGAGGAGTTCCCAGGGCCAAGTCTGGCACAAGGAAGACTCACAGGAGGGCAGCAGCCCCCGCTCCCACGAGTCAGCCTTGGCTGCAGGCAGGAGTGGGTGCTGGAACAGAACAGGTCAGACAAGCACTTGCTGGGAACAGGTGAGGTCAGCAGTGACTTCCCACGTGCCCTGCTGTAAATCCCAGCACCAAACACAAAGTTGGCAGTTACCTTCATGCTGCCGTGGTGTGGATTCCCTTGTGGAGACCGGAGACCCTCTGTGCAAGTGGCTGCTGAAGGCCGTGCTGTGACCAGTCTGGTGGTCCTCGTAGGCGAGGGCACTCTGGTGGGGCTTTCCTGGCTCAGGTACAATCACAGGAGCTCCTCTGGCAATTGAGCCACCCGAGTTGGTCACTGGGCTCGGCCTGTTTTTCAGGCTTTCTTCGTAAGCTCTCTCCAGATTCCTTGGGTCTTGTATGACATCCAGTGAGTGCACAGAGTGAAAAGTCCTCCCAGGACTGCCAATGATGGACCGCACGTCGTGCTTTTTGGTACTCGATGAGGAAGAGCCGCTGTCGTACTTCAGTGGGGTACCCTGGGGTCACAAGGCACATGGGGTGTCAAAGGGGCGTATAGCAGAATTACAGAATCACTGAGGTTGGAAAAGATCTCTAAGATCCTCAACTCCAACCCCAGCCCTTCCCCTCCATGCCCACTAGCCACGTCCCCAAGGTTCTTGGCCACCGCCAGGCATGGTGACCCCAGCACTTCCCTGGGCAGCCTGTGCCAGTGCCTGACTGCTCTTTCTGAGGAAAAAGAAATTCCTAACATTCAACACCCCACCAAGCTTCAGTGGGACTCATGCTTCCCGCTCCAGTAGGTCAGTACACCAGAGACATCAGTTTAGTTGGTCAAATGGCAAGAGCCATCCACAAAGCAGAGATAGCAGCACTGCATGGAAACAGGCAGGGTGGAGTGCCCGTTCTGCATGTCTTGTTGTGCTCCAACAAGATGGAGATGAGTCACCACTGAAGGCTGGCTGTGCCCATCACGCCTCTCCTACACATGCTGTGAAATGAGGTAGGACTGCGAGGTGCCATGGGAACCTTGCAAATATTTGCAGCCCAACAGGAGACAGCATGCCACACTTCATCCTAAATACTGGCCTCGCTGAATTGACACTTGCCCATACAGGGAGGAGACCGAAGCTGTGCACAAACAGAGTCACAGCTGCTGAGGGCACCATGTTGACTTTGGCCTTGAACATGAGCCAAATGTGTCTGCTCCAGTGTGCGTGGACAGGGCATCGCCTTCTCAGCATGCCAGGGAGTCTGAGGTACTGCATTTATACACTGGAGGATGGGAAGGGGAACCTATACTCAGGCAGAGCCCATCTACTGTGATTCTGTGATTCTGTGATTCTACTGATTGCCGACCGAGCCCTAGAGCCCCCTCTTCTCCCCCTTTGCTTTGGAAGCAGTGCCCTACAAGCACAGCAGGCTGAATAGGCCCGAGCCCACCTGCTGCTCGCCCACATGCTCACCTGTGTGATGGAGCCTTCCTTCAGAGGCCTCGTCAGAGAGATGTCAGGTGTCCGCCTCAGCTCCTCTCGGGGGATCTCATGGATTGACCTCCCTGCTTCCTTCACTGTGGCCACCAGGCCTTCGTGGGCTGGCTTCATTTTCAGGGGAGTAAGGCCCTCATGAGACCTGACCTTGTACGCATCGGATAAGTCCCGTGGTGGAGTGTTTTCCCTCTTGAGCTGTTTGGCTTCTCTTCTGAGGTAGTCCTCATGGGCCTCCACGTAGGACCGAGGTATTCCTGCAGTCCCAAGCAAACAAACTGAGCATGATTCCCAGCCATACACCATCCCCATGGGGATGCTCAGTCCAAGGGGCTTCCAGTTAACACATGTAACGCAAGGACTGCTACTCAACCAAACACATGCAGCTACATCACTGATACAACAGGACTCTCCACCATCATTTTCTGGGCTCATTTTGTACCACCTGCCTTCTGCCTTTGTGCCAGTCAATGGGAATGCTACTCCTGACTGCAGACTGGTAGAAACTGAGCACAACTGAAAATCTCTCACAATTGCAGCTGGACCCCAATATACGCACTGTGGGTTCCTCCTGCCCTAACCTGACCACAGGAACAAGGGGCTGTGTCTGTGAGACTTCCCTATGTTACTGTTGGCCATGGCCCTGCCCTGCTGCAGCCTCACCTTGTGTGATGGAGCCCCGGATGTGGTGCTGCTCCTTCAGGTTATGGGGACTGTGTCGGTCTGGAGGGATGGCTCGACCCATGAGACCTAGAATAGATCATGGGGGGAAACTTGGGTTGTGGCACCGAAGTTCATATAAAACCAGTGTATAACGACAGCACTGCCAGGACGCTGGGAAGTTTCTAAATGACTTGATTTCTCTTTTTACATGCGCTTCCGTTTTTGTAGTCCTGAAACTGGTACACCAGGACAGAAGCCAAAGGCGCACAGGCTGGTCTGTGCCCCTGTTCTGCCATGCTGTCCTGCTGGGATGTGCAACAGGGTCCCAGCAAACCACGGCCAGGCATGGGAAGGTGTGATATGTAGGCAAGAGGCAAGATGGGATCTCCGCAGACGCAACATGGGTGAAAAGCTTTCCCCACACCCACCTTCAATGCTGGCAGACAGCGGATCCCGGGACGACAAGCCACGGCTGATCCTCCCCTCCATCATATCGTAGGTCCGCTTGGTTCCTGTGGGCTCATGTGAACCTCCTGAGCTCCTGCTGTCTTCTTTGGGACACTGAGAAGCAGCAACTCCACCTGGAATGGGAACATCGAGAAGCAACATCAGACCCCACCCGAACAGCAGCCACTGCTTGGCAACGCAAGAAACGCTGCATGAGGTTGGCGTCCAAGAAATCCAGCTGCTGGCTCCCCCTCCCTGCCTGCTCTGATTCCAGATCTGTGCCTCCAGTGTGGGTAGAGCATCCTCCCCACTGCGTTCTGCTCCCTCCCTGATGCAGGCAGGGGACAGCTTGGGGCCAGCCCCTGTGTCGGCAGCTGCACTTCCACTGAGCTCAACCCTGTAGTTCCGGGAAGTTTTGCTGTTTGTTTTCATTTTTATTAGACACCTACTGTTTGGGATCCTCTCCAGTCTTAACATTTGCCGAGACACTCCCTGGGTGAGAAAAACAAGAGAGGGGAGAGGCAAAGCAGAAAGTTCCTCTGAAACAGCAACGAGTGCACACGAGGACTGGGACAGACAGTGAAAATCCCACACGTCAGCGCCGTGATGGGGCAGCACTGCAGTGACCGCAGAGCACAGACTGTGTGCTCACCCAAACCTGGAGCCAATTCTGCTGCAAACTGGAGTTGGGATGCAGACGGGGTTTGGGGCTGTGGGCACAGGGACAAAAGGTGGTTCAGCCCTGAGCCTTCAATCCAGCTTCATTCAAGGGCAAAGAACTGGGGGTGCTCAGAAAGCAGCAAGCACTGCATGCAGCCACTCCCCCAGCACAGCACATCTGTGCCCTGCAGAGGGGATGCGGTCCCCTTTGTACCCGGGAAGGAGAGAGACTGAACAGAAAGAAAACCACTCCAAAGCCACGTCCCTGCCTCGCAGCAGCCATCCGCAATCATATGCAGAATGAGAATAACCAATCTAGCACAATTCAGCCTGCACATGCTGCAGGATCTCGCCTCATTACAGCTCTTTTATTTTAAGCACCCTCGTGACACTAAAGAATTTGCAATTTTTTTTCGGCTTGCCAAAATTCATCATCAACAACAATTTCATTTTTCTTACTTCTTTTTTTTGTTGTTTGTTTGTTCATTTTTTTAACTCTTTGGCTGCAGGAAGGAGCCAGGCAGTGGGGCTGGGATGGCTTAAGGTCAGATCGATGCTATGGAGCATGTAGTAGGTTGTTTGGAGGGAAGGCATTAATTCCTCCACACCCTAAAGGACAGGGAGAGAGGAGATGGCCACAGCTGGGGACACGAAGCCCCTGTGAAGGAGATGGAAATAGCTGCTTGCACAACAAGTCCCAGAGTGCTTCCTGTGCTGTGCCTGGCACCAGCACTGCCAACTGTCCCAAAGGGTGCACAGACAGACGCCTGCGTGGTGACACCTCTCATCTGGGGCAGAGTTGACAGCAAACATGGGAGGCCGTGGGATGAGGCGGCTTCCACATGGCACAGCCCTGCCCTCAGAGGCCCTGCAGCCACCTGCAGGGATGTGGCACAGCAGGAGCCCAGCAGCTTCGCCCATGGGCTGGGCTGACCCAGCAGGATGGAAGCAGCTCCTGCCCTCTTAGGGCTGCAGGCGTGCGAGCACAGCACTGAGGTGACCGAGAGCAGGATCTGGTCCTTACTCATCTCTGTAAATCTGACTCAGAAGAGAAGTGATGCAGCCCTGTGAGATGGCCATGCCATGCCAAAGCCAGAGCCCAGTTCCTCTAGCTGCTTTTATCCCGGCCCAAGGAGAGCACAGCAGGCACTCCTAGCTTCACTGGAGATGAACATCTGCTTATTTCCCATGGAGGCCACCACAGCCTGAAGACGAGCCCTTATGGGCAGCGCTGCTGTCTGCTGAGCAGGCACAGAAGCACAGAGCAGCTGCTGGCTGCGTGCTGATGCTGCTAACACAGCTCCGGCACCTCCCATGGCAATGTTCCTGTGCAGGGGGTCTGAGTGCAGCATCTGCAGGGCGTGCTGAGCCCTCCCGACAGCAGCACCAACCTCAGCAAAGCTGCTGGCCAACGTTTTTTTTGTCAGTTCTGCATCTCACCGCTCTCTGAGCAGCCAGGGGTCAGCCCACTACCAAGTGGCACCTCCACTCTGCCCCGGAGCCAGGGGAGCTGGGGGCTGACTTGTTGCCAACCCCTAACACAGTTCAATTTGTGTCACACGCCAGTGCTGCCCTTCCCAACACACAGGACTGGGCGCCAGCAGCCGGAGGCACAGGAGCCCCAGCACGGCATGCAGACAGCTCTGTGAGCGAGGCAGCATCTGTCTGTGCTGCTCAGTGTGCTGTGCTGCTCTGCTTCTGGCTGTCACACAGGCCATGTGGGAAGGACACAGGGCCAAGCTCTTGATGGACAGTGAGCCACCAACTCCTATTTGCCACAGGGAAACAGAGCCACGGTGCTGCTGTGCCCAAGACATCCCAAGGAGGAAGCCTGATGTCCCAATATCTTTATGCCAAGCTACCTGACTTGCCTCCATCTCATAGGTTCTTTAGGTTCTGCTCTGGCCTAAGATCTTGAGGATCCTCTTTTAGCACAGTGCACCACGATGGGGCCAATAACACCATGACCAAGGCACAAGCACAGCATGAGACAGAGGGAAGCCCAGCTGTAGGGAGGTGTGGTGGAGCACAAGAAAAACCAGACTGGAAGTGAACCCATGAGGTCACCCCACCTCACTTCGTGGCCTTTCCCCACACAACTCCTGACTCCCAGCACCGCTGCACAGCCCTCCAGCACCTGCCCCCAAAAGGCCGAGGGTTGCGACTTACCATCATAGGACAGCACGTGGCCTTTCTTCCCCTCGTAAATGACATGTCCTTTTGGCATGGCATCCTCTCTCACTTTCTCCGCTCTGCTGGGGCTGTCTTCTCCGATTATCCTGGTAATGGTTCCTTTGTACAGCACTTCTGCTGGGGTGCCCTTGGAAAGCCACCAAGATCCATATTTAACAGTGTCACAAGCAATTAAGCAAGCAGTGCGCTCGCACACAGGAACACTCTGTTCCACCGGGGAAGCTGAGCGGAGGAGAGCGCGCCCGGCCTCCGCTTCCTGACAGCCATCAGCGAGAAACCTGCGGCTTAATTATTGATGAGGACAATAACGAGGAGCGGTAAGGAGGTACGTGAGCTGGAGGAGGCTGCTGGGAAGAGGCACGGGTGAGGACAGCAGGGGAATGGCAGGCACTGTGCTCCAGGGGGCTCCCCTTCACAATACCCAGAGCTGGGTGTCCTTGGAGATGCTGCAGCCCATTAACATCCCTCTGCCATCACAACCTGCTCGGTGCCAAGTGGGAGCAGCAGTCCCCCTGCCCCATGGTAGGGAACACTTGTGATGACTGACCCGCACCCATTCTGAACCTAACTGGCCTTAGAGAAGGCAAGTTAGAAACACCAGCTTTGTGGGTGTTCTGAGATTCTGCAGACTGTTCCCCTACCCCAATGTGGAGATGCCTGTGCTCTGCACAAAGCCATCTGAGCAACACCAGTCCACAAAACCCCACTGCAGCAGCCAGGCTCAGTGCTCCGACTGCTGGCGTGCAGGGTACAGCCGGTGCTGGTGTTCCCAGCCTCAGGTAAAGTCATCTTCCTTCCGTGGACGTGCTCAGAGAGGATTTGAGAGCAAGTGATAACAGATGGCTTCAGAGCAGAGACCGTCTATTCAAGACCTGCCTCCTGCAAACTGGATGAGTAATGCAAGATCAAATATCAGCGACAGCACTGGGGGCTGCTGCAGGGCCGGGCACTCCATCTGCACACTGGGGATGGCAGTGCCCTCTCACTCTGGGCTTGGTACCTCCAATCCCAAGTGAAAACAAAGGAATGTAGGTGGATCAAATAGCTGGATATAACACAGTATCTTAAACTCTGCTCACTGTCTGAACTAGTGCTCCAGGCCTCCATGACTGTTCCTTGCTGCTGCAGGGGCACACAGGGGGATGCACTGCTCTGCTGTGTCACTTCCAGCCCTGGCAGCTGCTGGATGTGGGGCACCAGGCAGGAGAAGCTTTTGCTCTGAGCCAGGATTTAGGTGGAGGTCCCCAGGGCCAAAAGGGACACGGTCACCCTACTTGAAAGAAGCATGCAAAAATCTGAGCACGAGTGGCTTTAAATAGCTGAATGATGGCCAGATAAAATCCCTAAGGGAAACAGATGACTTTTTTTTTTATGCTCTCCGCTCCGTAACCAGATGAGCAATAACTCACGCTGCAAAAACTATTGCCCGCTTGCCAGCTGCTCTTCTAAAGATGGATGGTGGAGATTAAGGCCAAAGCATCATTCTGCTCAAGAGAGCCCTTGGGCAGGACCCACAGAGCAGCACAGTGCTGGCAGCAGAGCTCGTTACCTGACATGCACCCCGCAGCCTCCCCCTCCCTCTGCCTGGGCAGAGCCTTCCACCCATCTCCTCCTCCTCACCACTTCTTGCCCTGGCAGGATTACTTTCTCAGAGCCATTTAAAGCTGCTTTTGCCTGTGCTCCTGACAGCTACTAAATTCAATGGGGGAGCTCAGACGTGCATTGCTAAGCTCTGCCCTTCTCACAGCATGGGGCTGGTGCCACGCCAGGCTGAGACTGTCTGCAAGGGATCTGTGATGCTTCCCTGTGTTGCTCAGTCCCGTGCCACGTGCCCAATGAGCAGCACCCAGGTAAGCAAAGCCCGACAGAGACGAGGGACCTACATGTGTGATAGAGCCTCGGTACGTGATGGGCGACTCTGGAGGGGGTCTGGATGTGGGTGTCCCCTTGGTGATGCTCCCTCCAGAGGCAGAGCTGAGGGATGTACCTGCAGGACATAAAGATGGTGAACTGGAAGCTGGATTTGTGGTCAGAAAAATGAAGTGTGGAAAGCCCTCCTGCAGAGCCCTCCCCACCCTGTCCCCTAAGGGATGCAGCCATGGGGCTGAGAAGTGCAAGGAGCCGTTATTTTGAAGCTCCCATTTCCATGCTGCATTCACAGTGGAGCTGGGCAGATTGATGGGCCTGGGAGAAAGCACAGCATGTCTCAGCTTCTCCTGATGCGATCAGAGATCTCCAGAGAGATGCAGCTCAGGGTGGTTTGAGTTCATTTGTGTGTTATTTGTGCTGGGCTGGAGCCAAGGCATCGTGCACTCTGCATATGGCTGCACAAACTTGGGAGAGCTCACAAACCAGAATTACTTAAATCGTGTACAAACAACACCTTTGTATTTATTTTCCTCTGCACAGCTATGGGGGAAGAAAAAAGGGAAACCCAGAAATCCCCCCAGAAGCCTCACAGCAGCCATGGGCAGTGTGGCAGTGGAGCATTCCCCTCCCTCCCACACCAGGACACAGCAGCATGCTCACCCCGCAGGACGGAGCCCTCTGGGGCCAGCTGCATCACCAGGCTTTCAGGCTGGCTGGCCTGGCTTCTGGGAGAGAGTTGTTCCTGCTTTACTCCAGGAAAAGGCACTGGAAAACATGAAGCACAGGTCAGTGTGGCTTTCATCTTCCCCAGCCTCCTGCTGGCACCTCCCGTGCTCACAGCCATCAATGTCCCTTCAGGGGTTGCAGTGTGGAGCTGGCATGCCTTTGCCCCTCCAGACGTGGCCCCTTGCCCATCTCCTTCTGCTGTAAAGAAATGCTTCCAAATATGCAAACTAAGCACTTTCTTTGTTCACTTCAGGCCATTCACTCTTTATCCTACCAGCCTGAGGAGTGGCAACAGATTTCCTTCCTTCAATCCCAGTGTTAGCCAGGTGGTATTTATAGCCTGGGAAGTGTTCCTGACCAAATTGTGCTTTCCTACACTGCACATACAGAATCACAGAATGTTTAAGGTTGGAAAGGACAACTAAGGTCACCTGGTCCACCCACCAACCCAACCCCGCCATGCCCACAGACCATGTTCCTCAGTGTCACATCTCTGCAGTTCCTAAACATCTCCAGGGACAGTGACTCCACCACTTCCCTGAGCAGCCCCTGTCAATGCCTGGCTTTGTTCTCCCAAAACATTATTCTTTCCATCCTTGGATCAGGTCTCTTCCTTCTGCACTTCATTGCTATGACCTGCAAGACAGCATTCACCACCCCCTCATTCCTTACCCAGTTTCTTGGGATCCATTGTCAGGGGCAGGCCCATGGTGATGGAGCCGACGGGAACTTTTGCGTGCTCGGAGCTGTAGGGTGTGTGGAGCTGGATGGGCATTCCCTGCAGTGTGAGAGGGGAGGTCAGGGGGTGGCCCAGTGATGTGTCCCCACTGCCCACACCCAACCCCATACCTGGGAGATGGAGCCGACAGGTCTCTCCAGCACAGAGGGATGCTTGGTGGAGGAGATGAGGGGAGGAGGGTTGGAGATGCCTGCCAGCCTCTGCAGCCCTGAGCGGGAGCTTTCGTGCAGGTTGAGCGGGATAGGGTGTCCTGTGTGGGAAACACGAGTGTTAGCACGACCATGGGAAAACAATGGGCAAGTGAGAGAACAGGGCATGAACAGGGTGACCCTGCTCCAGGATCCAAGCAGCACAATCACTTTGAAAACCACTGTTATTGTTTGAATTATTGCCTCTTTCCCTTTGGTTCTGTATCCAAGCTGTGTGCTCTCCAGCCAAAGAGGCACAGCAGAGCAAGGGCTGAAACCCCCATGATGGTGCCAAGGATGGTTCAGGGAACACTCATGGTACCCTGGGACAAATAACATCCCTAATCCATCCTGGTGGGAGTCAGAAGCCCTGCCTACTGCCTTGAGCCTGCCCCACCAGCAGCAGGGAAGCTGCTCTGTGCTGGAGCAAAGCAAGAGGTGGCATCTTTCTGCCAAGCCCTCTCCTACCCAAAAAGAAAAGAGCTGCACTGACTTAGGAGAGCAGCACACGATGCCAGCTGCGATCACAGCTCTGCCCCTCTGCCCTGGGTCAGGGCACCACGTGATCTCACGTGCCTGGTGGGTTATACTGGAACAGGTGGGGCTCTGCCTGGGGAGAGGTTTTTATCACATCCCGGGAGTAGGACAGGACGGGGGGCCAGCACGAGGTGGGCGGCGGCTCCGTGCCCAGCTTCTGAGCCTCTGCGATGGATGGGAAATGCACGGACTTTTCTGCAGAGAAAACAGAAACAAACACTTTGTTCAGTGGCAACCCACAGACTGACTGATGGAGATTCAGAAAGCAGCAGCCATCCATGTGGAGGTGAAACAGCCTTCCCTGGGCTCACACTCCTAGCTGGTACCACCAGGGGCTGGCTCGCCAGTGACAACCCATTTGCAGCCTGCTGGAGGGGCCAGAAAGAAAGGTGTCAGCTTGTTGGATGAAGAGGAAATAATGCACAGATGTTCTCCTAGCACGTGGACAAGCATGCTTTACTGGAGTGTCAAAGGCAAATGAAGATCAGGATGGGCTCTGTGGGATGGCTGGATGCCACCTTGCTGCCTAGCAGCTGGGCTGGAGGCAGGGCAGCTTCCTCAAGTTCGCTGGGTCAGGTGTACTAGAAGCCAAGCTGGGTTCACCCCAACTATAGGAAAGTTGATCTGAGGCCCAGAGGTGTCTGGTGGTGGAGGAGTTGTTCCCTCTTGACCTGAGCACCCTGTGGGGTGCAAGAAAATAGCTTTATCTGTGCCAGCTCCATCCCAGGTGCATCCTCACTGAGGATACTGTGCTGAGCAGACAGATGAGGCAGTCTTTTTGGAACAGATCCCGGGTAGGTTTGGTAGGATTTGCTTTTAATCAATAAACGCTTAATTTCGCACTGTCCTCCTCCTTTGCCAGACCCACCGGCGTAACGTCTGCATCGACCAGAAATTAGAAACTGGGCAGTAAACAATGGCAGTCACAAGTGCACCCAGCCTTTACCCATCAATTTCTGATAAAAATAGATGCCTGAATTCTGCTAAGCCTAATAATAGGGCAAGTAGATTATCAGAGGCCCAATTTAATGAGGCTTTACTGCATTATCATTATTAATGCTCAGTGTACTCAGAAGCTGGGAGATTATTCTTGTCCTCTTCGGTGAGGCAAGAAATCCATTCTCAGTACACAGAGGTGTCTGAGCATCTTCCCTCCTCAAGATCCCACGCTGGGTCTCTGAGCATTCCCTGATTTTCTCCCAGCTCCCAGGGCTGATCTGAGGGCTGGAAGGCGCTGGGACATCGGGGCTGGCGGTGCTCTCCCAGCCACGGCCCCACACACCCCAGCTGAGCCACGTCCTCCCCAGCCCCATGGTGCTGCTCCCTCCCCTCTGCGCCTCTGGGGCTGTGAAATGCGGCCAGTTCTTAATTGCCCCCGCATTAGAGGGCGGCTATAACTCAGCCGGCTTTGATAAAATAGCACTTACACAGGGAAGAGAGAGTTCCTATAACCGTTTATCAAACCCCTGGAATCGAAGCGAAGGAGTCAGAGTTTATACGATCCGTCATCCAAATTAATGCTCTTGGCTCTCCATCTCCTACAAAGGCCAACTGAAACCCAACTAAATCAACACAAAACAAACCGCCCGCTTTCCAACCGCCGGGCGATAACCGAAGATATGCCTGAAGGCAACGGGGGGAGAGATCCGTCTGCCCGGCGGCGAGACCCGGCGGGGCTGCGTGGCGCGTCCTGCCTGGGGCCGGGGAGGCACGGCGGGGGCCTGGCCGCCCTCCAAGGAGATACTGTCCCAGCCAGGGGCCGCGAGGCAGCCAACGCCTCAGCCAGGATGTGTGCAAGACTTTGCTTTGAAGCGGAGCCAAAACGGTGCGAAGGACGCTGATCCCCGCAGCGGCTGTGAGAGTTGAAGCTCTTATCGAGCGGGGCCTCAGCAGGCCGGGGGCAGTGGGAGGACCTGCTGCTGCTCTTCACTATGGCTGCCCTGGTGGAGGCCTGCGGGGCTGGAGCTTCCCGTGCAGTACCGTCATACAATCACTGAATACCCTGAATTGGAAGGGGTTCATAAAGGATCATCGAGTGCAACTCCAGTGTGATGTGAGAGCACAATAGCCCAGGTGTGGAGACGTGGAGCTCTATCCAGATGCAGGGGAAGGAAGGGGCTCCCTTGGTACACACATCTCCCAGCGCTACCTGGATCTCTCACCACCAGCCCTGGATCCCGCAGGCAGGGACAGCACTGAGCCACCACCCAAATCCATACCCGTACTGAAACAGGGCTCTGGGCTCTTGGTTTCTCCCCTCGAGGTGACTCTCAGCACAAAGCTGCTCATTTTCACATGGAGATACATTTACACTCTAAACACAGAAGGTTCCCAAGGGTCCACACGCAACCCAGACCCATGGTGGTAATAGCACACAAACAAGTAATGGCCTTAAATTGGACCAGGAGAAGTTCAGACTGGTTATGAGGAAAAATTTCTGAGAGTGGTGAGGCTCTGGCACAGGCTGCCCAGGTGGTCAAGAACAATGGAGATGTGGCACTGAGGATGAGATCAGGGCTGGATTGGGGATCTTAGTGGTCTTTTCCAGACTTAATGACACTGATTCATGGGTACAAAGGGTTTGGAGACTGAGGTGTTCTGCTCAGTCGCAGAACAGAACAATGCTCCTGTGCCACACAGCCCAGTGGGAAGCTGAGCTGTGCAAGATCTGCACAGGACTGCAGTGCAGGAAGAAATGAAACCCAGCTGAGGGAGGTGCTCTGCCCAGGCAGCAGGCACAGCAGGATGGGATCAGCTGGAGATGGCACTTCATGGGTGGCAACACCGTGACTCATAGGAAACTCCCTGCTTTCAAGGTGAGCAGTCCCCTTCCTGGCTTCTATGCAAAACGTCCTGGAGGGCAAAATGCACACAGTGCTATTTGTTGTTTAAGGAAAGAAAGAAGAATTGGCAAAGACCCAGAAACCAACTCCTTCTGCAAGCACGTCCTTCTGCCCGATGGGACGTGGCTGCTGGAAGAACGCTCTGGCCAGGACACACTGCAGGGTGCTGAGATCCCAGCTGCCAGAGCTGAACTTGGGGACCCATTTTCCAGCACAGATCACAGCACAGAGCCAGGGCCAGTCTCCTCCAGCCCCATCTTCCTGCACTTTTATCCTAGGACTGGGGGCAGCACCCACAAAGCCCAGCTCACTGCTCCCCAACTGCACCGCCGGTGACAACATCCCACGGCACATCTGCAGTGCAGGCTACGAGGGGCAGGGACGCAGATGTTGGACTGGAGCAGACTGACACTGAGATGAAAAACACATTCAGAGGATGGGCTCATCAGGACTTCCCGACTCTCCTTAACCTTGATCCCCAGGTGCTCAAGCTAATAACACTTGAGATGCTCAATGGTGGGAAACTCTGAATTGCTCATTAGGCAGCCAAATCGTATCAGAGCTGTTCCAGGGAAAAAGCACTGGGAATCTTTACAGGAACCTTCGGACTCCGAGTCACAGTATTAGCATTGATTTTAAATGAAATAATGGTCCCTGCTGAGCGTTAAAAGCATTCTTTATAAAAAGCCAGCAAGGTAGAAAAGAGCCATTGTGCCCAAAGCCCTGGCATGCCTCCAGGCCCCTTTGCTCTCAAGTGAATGGCAGAAAGGCTAATAAAGGCAATCTTCACCTCCTCGGCGCTCGACACCAGCGCGGTGTTTGCCGTAGGCTCAGTGAGACATGATGTACTGTCTAACGAACACGGGAGATCAGCCGTGCCTCCTTGCTCCTGCTTCAAGGTGCTATTAAAGAGCTTTCAAGGGCCGAAGCAGACGTTGAGCTAAGAGAAGGAGAGCTGCTGGCCAAGCACAGCACGTTTCCTCACAGATAAATACACACCACCAGCACGCTGCCCTACCTTCCTTGTCCCCGGCAGTGGGGCTCCTGCTCTTCCCCCTCGGGCTGCTGCTTGGCTGCTGCTGCTCCTTCTCCTGCTGCTTGCTGGGGGGCACATCCTCACGGGAGGACTCGTGGGCCTTTGTGATCTGCTGCTGGTAGAGAGCCAGGGCGTGGGGAGGCACTGGGGGCTTCACGCTTCCGCTCTGCAGTATTCCCTCTGAGAAACCTTCAGAAATCTGCAATGAGAGAGGAAGAATTGATGCCTGCCATGTGCTGTCAGCATCTCCAGCAGCCCCAGGGACAGCGAGAGGCAGCTGCCCCATGGTCTGACCCAAAGCATGCTTGAGAGCTCACCAAGTACAGGAGACTGAAATGTCCCATGGTGAAGAGCATCAGCTCTGCTCTGGGCCTCAGGCTGCCCTTGTTTAAAACCTCTAATCTGTAGCTAAGTGCCTGTGGCTTTTGCAAGAAATTATACTACAACAGCCACATCTATGCTTTAACTGAGAGAGCAGCAGGAATGGGTCCTCCCCGAGGACTCAAACCCAGCATATGAGAGCAGGGATTTCCTCTCCCCACCCTGCAAACACTGCTGCTCTGCTGGAGGACTCTGGAGAAACGATCAGTGTTTTCAGCATATGGCTGCTGGACAGCCAAAAAGGGAACACAGAAGAGCTTTCAGATGAAGAAGAGCATCAATGCATTTCACACGGTATCTTCAAGCACACGAGACCAAGAGAAGCACAGCCTGGGAGGGTGCTTGGTTGCTTTTTAAAGCAAAGGAGGCAGCAGTCACATGGCAGTGAGCAGCTTGTTCTGTCCAGACCTCCCACCACTTTCTGATACAAGATCTTGAGGGACACTCGAACACTGCTGGCAGCCTCCAGCAGCTGGGAACGCGCTGTGCACAGAGCACTTTGCCTGCACAGGGCTCCCACCACCCAACACAGGAGCTCAGCCTGCTGCCAGTCCCAGCACTTACGATGGGAGGGATGGCAGCAGCACGCTGCTTCAGCTGCTTCAGGTCCAGCGGTTTCTGTGGCGAGGAGTTCAGCCTGGCCTCGCTGGCGGCATTGAGCAGGCTGGGCCGAGGGGACAGCAACCTGAACACAAAACATGGGTTACAGGGGGAACACTGTGGATGAACTACATGTCTGGGTGCTTCCCCACGCCCTGTGTCCCTCTGCTAAGCCTCGAGGATATCCCTGCCATCACTAAGGCCAGCTAGGCTACTGTGGGACTTGTGAGCACAGCTGGGCTGCTGGCCCTGTGAGCTGCTGCCTGCTCCCAAACCCACCTCAGACGCTGCAAGGCATGCAGGTATCTCCAAGGTCCCACCCAAGGGGGTGGGGATTGAAACAGACAAAGCCCATGGGCTGAGAGGTGCTCAGCTCCCAGGCCCTTACTCAGACCCTGGGGCCACGTCACTCCAGGACATCTCCACTTTCTCTCCCTCCTGACTCTGATTTGTTGAAGCCAGTACATCGTTTCTAAGTTTTACAGCTTGATTTGTTTATTTTAGACGTTATTTCACTGCTCTTTTCAGCCTATAAATTTCAAGGTCATTCCACGCTCACCCTTGCATGAATAAACAAGCGTGGCTGGGCCATGTGCGGGGAATAAATACATCGCCGTGCTGGGACTGCCCCAGACCCACAGTGTGCAGTGCCTGGACTGGAGGGGGAATGGGTTCCCCAAAGATGGGAGCTCCTGCAGGACTGGGTTTAGGCACCCAATGCTGGAGATGTCAACTGCTTGCTTGGAGCCTGAACTCCCACCAGCAGCAGGAGAGGAGCGAGCTCTCTGCAGCACAGGATGGATGCTCTGCCCCAAGAGGCACTGGAAATTTTGGGATGAAGCTTTGGAGATGAACAGGGCACTGCATTCTCCAAACTCCTTCAGCTTCCATGAGGGGCTGGCTGAACTGCCAGATGACCCAACGACACACCATTCCACAGCCCTTCCCAGGTGGCCCTAACTCTAATTTTTGCTTGCACAACCACTGTGCAAAGGCAACACAGCCTCGGTGCAGCGAGCATCTCCTTGCCTCCCGACACCACAGATCTGCACCGGGGAGATGTGCGTGGCCTCACACACGCGTTCCCATCTGGCGTGACCTCCCACTGAACTGCGGTACTGGCAGTGCTAGCGGCAGCCCTCCTACAGCACATGCTGCATGTAACCACAGACAACCCGCTGCCTCCTCCAGCCCTGACGAGCTCAGGCTGTGACTCCATCCCAGCACAAACCTCAGGAGGACCCAAGATGGTCAGCGACTACGTCCTTTGGCCACCCTCCATCCCGTGCTGTCCCCAGCACAGGTTGGGTACCCAGCCCAGCACCACGGGGTGGGTGGGTGAGCACTGCCCACGTGCCCAGCGCCGTCCCAGACGGGGTGGCCCACGTGGCACCCCCATCCCGTTCCTCGCCTCTGCCTGTGTGCTCGTGAATCACGCGGCGCTGCGGTAACCGCCTGCGAGGATACATGGCAGCTGAAGCTTTGTGTCTCGCTGGGCTCTGCAGGCATGGCACGCCAGCAGCCCTGACATCACCTGCACCTTACCAGCACAGTGGTATCAGGAGTGCCCGAGCAGCAGACGGATGCCTGCTATGCTTAATATTCCTAGAAACTGGTAACTGTTTGATGAGCAGATAGGCACTGACTCATGAAAGAGCCTGGGATGGAAAAGTTGTTCCCAAGAAGATGTGGTTCTTTCGCAGCTGGGAGCTGGCAAATGTGCTGCTGTCCCTTTTGGGCTGGGTTAATGCTGGATGTGAGGCGTGGAGCCCTGCTGCTGGCCTCGCTCCCTCTCATAGGGAGGCTTCTCCTGTCTGGGAAGGAGGAGAGGGCGGGGAGGGGTGGTGCTGGCCTCCTTCCACTGGCGGAGAGCAGCACCCAGCCAAGAGGCCCTGGCCTCACTGCAGGGCCACGGCCCAGCTGCATCCACAGCATCCTTATCCCTGCCTGCATTACTGCCAGCAAGGGGCTGCTCACACGGGCACGTGACAGACGGATGCTCCTGCAACTCACCCTCACTGCATCAGGGCCAGCACCCTCCTGGGTTACAGGTGGTACAGATGCATGACAGTTCCCTATATCTCATGCCACTGCTACACTTGGTTGCATTGTAAATAGCCCCATGCATAGAAGTGTTACAGCCTGACTGGCCTTGGGGCATCCCTCTCAGGAGTGACACAGAACACCAGACACAGAACACTGGATGCAGGACACCAGCTTTGGTCCCAGTCCAGCACCGGGACAAGAGCACAGAGGGACTTCCATCCCTCCATGCCATGCAGGGGGGATTCAAGAGGTCCATCTTGACCCAAGAGCCATGTGGATGGAAGTAGGAGCTACCAGAGAAAACAACACTACAAGACATATGTATTTATGTATATTCTTTAAAAAAACAAAAACAAAAAAAAAAACACCAGGAAACCCTGTCCCATTTGTGAGGCTCTTGGCTGGGGAGGGCTCTGTGGCCATGTTGGAAAGGGATGGGAGGAGAACAGGACATTTATCCTCTGAAGAGCGCAGTGCTTCCCCTCCCTGTCCCGGGAGCAATGCAGGATGGTCAGATGCTGGGGGGCTGTGGGGCTCAGGCCCCATTGCTATTCCTGCAGTTCCTCGCACAGCCCTCACCACTCTGCTGCCTTACAACTGGGACTTCTACAGATCCCAGCAGCATCCCCGTCGGGGCAGCAGCTCTCCCCTCTTGGCGCTGGGAACACGACCGCTCCCCTGCCAGCATCGACTCAGACAGAAAATCTGTTCCCAGCCCTGATCACAGGCGGCCCAGTCTACGCCTCCGCATAACTCAGCTGTCCCCAAGGGCACATCCCGCTCTGTTGCGTCACCCACATGGGCTGTGAGCAGCAGACGCAGCAGTTCTGCGCCCGGCACCTGCCTGCAGCCACTGTCCAGGGACATTGCCATGGGCCCTGCGTAAGTGATTGCCAAAGGGCCACTGCCATGCGAGGACACAGTCCGGACCGTCCCTGAGCCTGAGGAAGTGATATTTCACACACCTCTCCCCATTCCTACCTGCTCTTGTCCACAGCATCCTGCTCGTCCATCTCATCGGCGCTGCAGGTCGCGCTCGAGTCGCTGTCGGGGTTCACCCCTTGGCCTTTGCTGCCTTTATGGCCCTCCTTCTTCTCGGCCTTGGGCGTCCCCTCAGCCTCCGCAGTCCCCACGCTGCCGACACCACTTTCTGCCTTATTGTCATTCCCCTTGTCCTTCTCCTGGCTGTCCTCGCCCTCCTCCTTCACCTCGCTCTTGCAGGGCTCCTCGCTCGCCTTCTCCTCCGGCTCCTCCGTTTTCACCACGTCTACCACCAGCTCCTCCTGCGCCTTCTCCTCGCTGCTGGGCGCTTTGGGGGCCTCCGGAGGAGGGCTGGCGGTGGGAGCGGGGTTGGTGGCAGGGGCAGCGGGGGCTGCAGCGGTGTCGGGGGGTGTGGGAGCCTCTTCCAACTTGAGCGCCGGTTCCGTGCCGGAGTCACCTCCCGGCCCGGGTGGTGCCTTGGCCCCGCTTTCGCCTCCCTCTTTGGCTTCGGGCCTTGGCGAGGGAATGCTCTCGGTGTCGGAGCTGTTATTTACTGCAGCTGAGAAAAGGGAAGAAATAAAAATAAGGATCGGGCTGAGATTCTCACTTCCCATACCGCTGCCTCCGCCCCCTCCCAAGGGAGGAGAACGCCTGCGCTCCGAAGAGGAGACGATCCCGGCGCTCGGAGCGTGGTGCTGGGATCCCCGGCAGTAGGGATGAACCCAGGGTTTCACCCCTCAAAACCCATAAAACCCATCCAACCCAGAGACCAAGCGACCGGGACGCAGGGCGCAGACGGAACACCCTGCCTGGATCTGCTGCTTGGCCCCACTCCCTGGTGGCCTCTCTCACCCATCGCCCCACAGCTCGGCCCCGCTCCCGGAGCTGCTGTTGGCACGGCATGTGACTTATGGTGCCCATGTCCCCAACTCTGCCAGCCCCGGGGCAGCTGGGGCCGGCCCAAAACACCGCGCCTGTTTGTTGCTGCTTAAGCCGCCAGTGGCAAAAGAAAGGAGGTCAGGGTCGGAGAAAGCAAAGCTCTGCCAGTGCTGCAGGACAGGTTAATTATTAAATCACAGAATCATAGAACGGTTGGGTTGGAAGGGACCTTAAAGATCATCCAGCCCCAACCCCTGCCATGCGCTGATTGCCCCCCACCCATCAGCTGCCCAGGGCCTATCCAACCTTGGCTCGCACATTTCCAAGGATGGGGCACCCACAGTGTCTCTGGGCAGCCTGAGCCAGCATAAATGTAAAGGATCATCTGCAAATCTAATGGCTCGCAATGAGCTGGAAATACAAGTGCCCACACACCGTGGCAGATGAAAGAACTGCTGAGAGGTTGGGTCTATGATCAATATTCATCCTATAAAGGGCCAGTAGACCACACAATGCCCACAACCCCTCGGGCACAACTCTTATGCTCATCTCCAAATGGACACAGGGGCTTTCCCACAGCTTTCCCCTTTGTCTCTCTACAGCAGCATGTTTTGCAGGGAAACATGGCATGACATGGAGACATGATGTGTCCTGAGAGTCGTACATCTGAGCACATCCGAAGTCTTCTGCTTGGCAGCAAAACGTGCCAGGAGCATATTGGGATTCTCACCACCCTCCAACATTTATTTCTTAGTGTCAAAGAATGAAATGAATGAGTGAAATGCATTTGCTCAGGGACAAAAGAAATGGGATTCGCAATGAGTGGGGTCAGACCTTCCTGCTCAGTGCTGCTCTGCACACAGGGGCTGCAGAGATACCCAAGGGCTCAGCCATGTGAGCACAGTGTGCTGCTCCAGCACCAGTCCCCTCCGTCCAACAGGAGGAATTGGAACTGAGGACCGGGAAGGGAAAGCCTCTGAACATGTCAGATCTGTCTTTAAGCTCAAAACGACATTGTTTCCTCTCAACTGCTCTTACAAAGAGCAATAACCACCTTCTGCTCTGCGCCTCTGAGTCACGTATCACCTCGCACAAAGATTTACCTGGAATCTGCCTCGTAATGAGTCACTTTCAACAATGATTTGAAAAGATTTCCCATTTCAAGTCCCATTAGCCTGGGTGCTAAGGCCAGGAAGCAGCAGGGTGCCAGCACTGCTGGTTAAGTTATTAAATTACTTTGACAAAAGTCAAATGGGGCTATTGTTGGAAAATTATGCACATTTTCTCCAAACTCACTGCCGTGCTTTCTAAGCGATAAATAGCAGAAAATTGTCACTTTCAAGTTGTTTCCTTTCTTTGGTACGGCTGAGAGAGAGGAAAACGCTCCCTTAAAAAGGGAACAAGGAGGAAATGACTGGCTGAGCCCTCCAGCCTCACTGCTCCAAACCTGCGGCAGCCCCCAGAGCTCACCCCCCAACGGGATGGGGATAGCTATGTTCAAAGCTCTTCCTCTGCATGACCTCTCCAAAACAACCATCCCCCAGACAGATGCAGGAGGAGGGCAATGACCCAGTGCAGTCTGAAACCCTCGAGGCCTGAAACCAAAAGTGTTGGAACAGCCCTTCAAGTGCTGACATTGCGGCCCCCACTGCAGTCCCTGGCCACCTCACCTTCAGCCTCCTCAGCCATCTCTTCCTCGTTGCCACTCGTCCCCGACACCTCCATCTCCTCATCCTCAGCCACAGGAGGGAAGGCAGCTTCCTCGTTCTGAGTGGCAGTGCCTTTTTTCTTCTTTCTCTTAGCATTTCTTTCTTTCTCCTGGGGAAGAGGAAGAGGAAGGTAAGACAGAAAGCAGAGGACAGCAGATGCCACAGCAGGGTCAACAGGGCCACTACCACCATGGTGACCCCAGCCCTGAGCCCTAATGAGCACAGACCCTCCAAAAAGGGGTCTCCAGGACCACAGTGTGCCCCATGTCACAGTCTCACCCAAGGGCAGAGTACACAACTGTGCTTGGAGTTGCCCCTTCCTGGGGAGCACAACACTGGGGGAGCCCTGGGGATGCTGCACTCTGCGCATGGGGCAGACACTGGGTGCAGGATTCTGCCTTCCACACAGTGGTGCCTGAGTGCTGTGCACCCCAGGGGCCACGTGCCAAAGCCACAAGGGCTCACATGCTGCTGCCTGCTGCCCACCCCAAGGAAAAGTCTCGCTTTTGCTATTGTTTCCTGCTCTTGTTGCTTAAGTAAATATTACCAGTAGGAACAGGCCCATCATCTCCGGCTCTCCCTGCAAGCCCCACACGGATGACGTGTGTAGGACGTTTATTTACATGGATGAGAAGATAAAGCCATGGCGGAAACGTTAACTCTGCTGCTGGATCTGCGCGCTGGGAAGAGCTGGTCCCTGCCCTCCCCCCGACTTCTCAATCCTTTAAAAAACTTCCAGATAAAACAAACAAATACAGCTTTTTGCTTGGAAACGCTGCTTGCTCAAAGGCTATTTTTATCAAACCGGGCAGGAGAGAGGAAAAAAAGGCACTTGAGAAAGTATTGTGTGCTGCAAGCTCCCCGTCCCATCCCCCCTGTGCCAGGTCGCTGCGCCCTGCGCTCGCACCTTGGCCAAGCAGCACTTTGCTAACAGCAGGTTTTGCTCTGAAGCAGCAGTTCCACGTCATGCTAATGAGATGACAAAGCCCTACGTTACTATGGCAAAGGCTTCTCTCTGCCTCTCACTCACGGGTCTGTGACTCAGTGCAAGCCTCCAGCGGGCTCCTCACTGGAGAATGAGCAGAGCACGAGCGGCCCTGGGGCAGCAGCATCCAGATCCCAGCTGAACCCAGGGATCCTCTACGCCTCCAGCAGTCCAGAGGCTCCGTGGGCCGTGCCTGCAGCCAGGCATCCCCACCATCATCACGTGCTCCACTTAATCTGAGCGACCACCAGTGAGCCTGCAAGGAGGTGCCAGGGCCATTTGCCCAGTTCCTTTTGTGTTATTCCAGCCTCTTCTCTCTGCCTACCAGGTGTTTCTTGGCACTCTGGGAGGTGGTGCCACTTGAACAGGCTCTGTGTAAGATCTCGCAGCAACAAAATGGGAGATATCCCATTCAACTGCAGCTTCAAAAATGCCACAATTAGGGGCAGCACAGATGGGTCAGATGCAATCTGGGGTGACAGAACAGAGCAGTGATCCCAGCACCTCTCTGCCCACCACAGTGGGGACAGCCTCAGCCTCCCACCCCAAACCCTGACATGCTGCACAAACCATGCTGGATCTGCCCAAGAGGCCGCCAGGCTGTCCTGCACCCCGTGAAGAGCAGGGAATCACAGAAACACTGCTGGCAGCAACCAAGCAGCACTGGCAGCAGTGCGGGGATCCCTCACCCATCGCAGCTGTACACAGCACAACAAGCCCAGGCAGTGCCTAGAACATCCAGAGTTAGAAGGGACCCACAAGGATCATCAAGTACCGGACCAAAGCAAGCACTCAGCAAGGAGGTGGTGATGAAGACAGCGCCTTATCTCCAATTGCTGACGAGAAGGGTGTGAGGACACCATGTATCCATGTGCCCCGCTCTCCCCTGAGATTAGCACGGCACGCAGGACAAGGCGACGAGACGGTGATGCAGAGACACATCTGAGCTACCCGACAGCGAGCCTGAGCCAAAACATGCTGTGCAGACAAAGCGAGGCCTCGAGGCTCTGCAGGACACTGTGATTTGTTCTGGGGCACGGGGACACCTCCAGGCTCCACTTGCCCCTCCTCGGCAGGTGATGGCCACTGCTCATCCCCAGCAGCTCCCCAATCCCAGTGAGCCCTCCAGCCCCACGTCACACCGACAAGACGAGGGGGCTACACCATTAGCGAGCCCCATTTGGGAAACTAATGAGAGCTGCTAATTGAGTTTACTCTCATTAGGCAAAAGGAAGAAAGGCAGTGCCAAGTGATTTGCTCGCACACGATCAGCAATAGCTGTTGTGAGGGCAGGGGGCAATCTGGGCATTTCACACAAACCCACACAGTGACACCACGGCCACATGCGTGCTGTGTGCAGGCCAAGGCCGAGTGCTGGCTACAGGAGGGGATTAGGAGGCTCGGTTTGCTTGTGAATATATTTAGGAGTCAGGAAGGAAGGTCTATGGCAATTTAATCTTGGTTGTTCTTTCATTTTACTCAGCTTTCTGGCATCTGCTGTTGCCACAAAACAATAGAGAACAATAAATAACAGCTGAATGCTCATTGTTCTTTGACAAAACCGAATCCCATTGCCTCAAATGCTCAGAAAATAAAATGATGATGCTGATATCAACTGCAAGTGAGAGTGAGCAATTAGACGGGAGCAGCGCAGCGCTGCCTTGGAGGGACGGAGGCAGGGAGAAATGTGGCTCTGCAGAAAACCCTTCTGTGATATAATTTCTGAGACATTAGGAAGAGGAGTAAATTAATAAACACTGAGTCCACTGCCAGCTAAGCAGCATGATCTTATTTCAGATGCTCCCCCGTAATGAACAAAGATATCTTTATAACATTTTACATTCAGAGGGCTTTATGCACATTTCATTGCAGTCTTTATATTTTTTGCCTTTTGTATCGTTTGCTCTGTTTCTAAAAACAATTTGGTGAAATACAGGAACACAGGAGTGTCTCTGTGCATAGAGAATTAATAAGAAAAGAATCGCCAATGTCTTCTCTCTCTCTCATTCCTATAGACTGACTAGGATATTAAATTCCTGGGTGAGTCATTGAATGTTTTCCTGTCTTTCTTTTTACTCTTGCTGTAATAGCTTGCTTGGAGAGATTCCTGCATTGAACATTGTCCTTTGCATTTTCAAAGCACCCCTTGGGGGTTCAGCCATGTGAATTCTATTAGCCAGAAACCGGGAACCCCAGGATACTCTACAGATGAAATAATTATAATCCTCGGCTGCTCTTAGTGGTCTGTGCTATCTCCAGAACACTCAATGAGCCCCACTTCATTCATACTCTGGACCGTATGGCAGAAAAGCAGCGTCAGCCCATTCTCACTGGGAAACCAAGGCACAGAGAGATGCATGCATTCCACAGAGATAATCACCAGGATCAGCCCTCCCTGCACAACACCTCTCCTACTGCCACAGCTTTGAGCTCAGCACCTCCTTTCCATGCATTGTCCCAAAATCCTGAATCCCTTTGGCAGCTGCCCTCCTGCAGAGCTCCTGGTGGGCAGTGCCATCTGCACCATTCGTGCTCCCAGGTGTCCGTGCTCCCACCCCAAAACGTTCTCCAAAAACACCCTGGTGCCTCAGTGGCTGCAGGACTGGGCAGGCTCCTGGGACGAGGTGCTCACCATTTTCAGTTTGTGCTGCTGTAGGATCTCATCCAGGTTCTGCCTCTTCTTGTAGTTGAAGTAGAAGTTCTTGCACTGAGACACGGTCTTGGAGCCCACCATCCTGGCAATGGCCGACCAGTTTCGCCCATGCTCAAGGAGACCTGTGGTAGCAGGAGGGAAGGAGAAGGCTTTAGGGCCAGATGGACTAGCACAAGGACAGCATTATCCGCACAGGATGGGAAACACCCGCAGCGCACGCCAAGCTCTGCAGGAACAATATGGTCACAGCACCCGTCTGCAAGGCTTCCCAGGATGACTTGGGACAGCCTGTTTGTCTTTCCATGGGGAAAAAAGGCCCTGAGCTGAGTGCCTCAGGAACAGAACATCCCGCAGCCACAGCACAGAGGCAGGAGGTGTTCCCCTCTCAGGACAACACTGCCATGCCCAGAACCCTGCCAGCATAGGATGGGACAGGGAGGATGGGTGGATGAGGAAGCATCCCTGTGTGGGCACCTGCAGGTGCCAACCCTTTCCCGCAGCCCTGGGACTGTGCAGGGTCATGCAGACATGGTGTGTTGGAGCAGTGAGCAATGTGGAGTATGGGCACAAGGATGGATGCCCCGGGTCCTCTCGGTGTGGTGCTACAGGCACAGCTCCCCAGCTCCTGCCCAGCACCATGCGTATGGGACAGGCAGCCTGAGCACGGTGCTGCTGCAAATTGTGACTTCAAGAGCTGAAAACCTGCAGGGAATGAACCTGCAAAAAGCACTTTCCTCTTTTATAAGGGGTTTTCCAGCACAGAGGCCACAATGCACATAGCATGGGAGCAGGGACTGCCCGCGTGCCTCCGCCCTCTGTCTCTGTATCCATGCTGCTACCAGCTCTAGTGCTGCAGAGCTCAGCATGTCCTAGGTTAAGGCTCCCATGGTGGCCATGAGTGCACCTGGGAGCTGTGCCCCACTGACAGCCCAACAGCCACTCCTGCAACCCGGCACAACAAGGGTTAAGCTGCAGCTGTGCTGTATCCTGCCCTGTCCCAGCACCGGGGCTTATCGAATTGCACGCAGCACACAGGCATCACACAGCGCTGAGCACCACAAAAGGCCGGGGCAAGCCAAGAAGCAAGTTGGAGCTTTAACTCTGCAGTTCCCAGCCTGCAAAACTTGCAACCTCCGTCACCATGCTGCTTAAAAAGGGAAAAGAAAAAAAAAAAAAAAAAAAAAAAGGGGATGTCCGGTAACCAACTGCTCAGGGCAGCCCTCCCCCTGTGCCACAACCCAGGCTGCTGCCCCAGAGCAAACAAGCCAGTGGCCCCTTGGCTCAGTGCCCCCGGGCTCAGCACAGCACCACGCGCAATGCTGGGGGCCAGGGTGGTTTGCTGTGCCCAGGGCAAAGGTTTACCAGCAGCCGGGCTCTGCTGGGATCAGCAGCGGGACCCAGCCTGGCAAATGGGGGCAGATGAAGCCCGCGGTCCCCACCGTAGCGCAATCTTCGCTGACGTGTGGTGCCACGCACAAAACCCCGACACAAAACCCCGACACCTGCTGCCTCTGCACGGGGCTGGATAGGGGACGCGTTCCCCGGGACACGCCACGCACACAGGCACGCCGCACGCCCCGGCTCGGCAGCCTCACCAAAGCTCCAACCAACGCAGTTACGGTTGCGGTGGAGGCTCGGCACGGCGCTGCCCCAATCCTCCCCCCGCGCCGACCCCACTGCCGTACTTACGTGCCGCAGGTCGCGCTGCGCCGGGCCGGGAGCACACCCGCAGCATGCAGCGGGCCGGGCGGTGGGCGCTCCTCAAAGCCCCCCCGGGCACGGCTGCCCGCTGCCAAGTGCTGCGAGCGCTGCGCTCGCGCCCTCCCCGCTCATTTTGCTTTCGTTCCCTCGCAGCGGGCGGAGAAAGAGAAGAAAGCAAAGCCGGTTCCTTAAATCCTGGGGGCGAGAGGATCGCAGAGCCATGGGCGGCTGGAGCAGCTGCTGGGGCTGGAAAGCGGGTCAGGGGCGGGAGGGGGCTGCTGACCCCGCTGCCCGGAGCCGGGGGGGACGCATGGCCCGGCCACGCAATGCTCCGCGGGCGTCAGAAGCACGAGCGGTGTGCGCTCCCCGGTTCCTCGCTCCGCAGCCCCGAGCTCCGGGAGGGGGCTGTGCAGTTTTCAGGAGATGCCCGACGTTGCCAAGAAATAATAATAAATAAAAAAAGAAAGAAAAAGCAGCAGAAAGGCGAAGGGGAGGGAGCAGCCGCAGCCCCGCTCCTGGCAGCCCGTGGACGGAGCCGGTGCCGCGCCGTGTGCGGAGCAGCGAGCTCTAATCTGTTCCTCTGGCTGACCCAGGGCTCATTGCATCTGAATGTGACCTCTAGACAGAGCATTAATAACGAACGTGGCGCTGACCCAAGCTGACAAGGGGTGCGGCCGCTTGGCACCGGCTCCCTCCCTCCCTCTCTCACTTTCTGTCTCCCTCGCTCTCATCTGAATGTCGGCGCAGGGGGAGGGATCCAGGGAAACAAAGCTGGGCTCATAGTTTCCTCCGCTCCGAAGTGAATCAAAGGCGCGTTTCTTTGGGGAGGCGCGAGCCCGGCACGGTGCCCCGCTACCCACGGAGAGGTTGGGGATGAGCGCCGGGAGCGCGGGGCATCGGCGGCACAGCCGGGAGCGCGGGGCGGGCACAGCCCCTGCCCCGATGGAGGGACGGAGGAGCACGGCGCAGTGGGAGGCTGGGAGCCGCGGCGGCGGGTTTGGGTGCGATGCTTCGGTATCCGGAGCAGCGCCCGGCCTCTCTCGCACCCGGAGTACAGGGATGGAGCCGCTTTTGGCACAGCCGAGACGTGCCATAACCCGGCCCTGGAGAACCGCCGGCACCGCGCAGCCCGCGGTGCTGCGAACGCGTGGTCGGCAGCGCCGACAGCAGCCCCGCGCATTGCCCTCCCCTGCCGCCACGCGTGGGAAACCGCGGCACAAAGAGGTGAGTGATGCGCACAGCCAGCACCCAGCAGCGCACACACGGCCACACGGGGCGGGCAGGACGCAACACCCCGCCCTTGGGGAGCCACCATCCCCAGCACGCACACCTGGCCGTGCGGGCATCCATCCCCGCGCCGCGGCCTCCCCAGCCCCTCTCCTACCTCCCCTCTCTCTGCCCCGTCCCGCAGCCCGGCGCTATCCTCGCGCTCTCTCCTCACCTCGTTCGGATATTACTCCCGCTCCCTCATTGTTGAAAAAATAATGCTCAAAATTAAAATGTGGGCTGTAAATTATAGTAATTACCCAGCGTTTCCCCCTGACAGGCCTTTTGTGTGCCATTCGCTGACACTCACTGAGCAAATCCTCTCTCCTACACGAGGCAGAAGCATTCCCCCCAGATGCACCGGGGGGGCACAGCAGCAGCACTATGCAGGGCAGTGCTTGATGTGGTTTGGCAGTGCCAGAATGGGAAGAGATGAACGTTCTGTAAAGAAAATCCCACTTAAAAAAAATATATATATATATATATATATAATTTTTTTTTTTTAGTTTCATGGGCAGAATGGGACTGGGGTAAAAA